CTTAGCTGGTTACAGGTTAGTAAACAAGTCTGTTGAGGAAGTTTGAGGAGGAAGAGCACCCAGCTGTGTTGGCTCTGCTGGGTTAATATGCAAACAGTAAATGACTTTTCACAGCTCAGGAGATACTGTTCTGGGCAGGCACAAGAGAGGTGCCACGGTAAGAATGAACTCTACTCAGGATAAAGTTGAATTTCAAAGTGACACTGAAAAGTAAGTTAAAATTGGTATTTACATTTTGAAGTAAAGGCCCAAAGAGATGGGGTGGGTGGCTGATGTAAGTAAGCATGTGCATCTGCCTCAAGGTGACAGGTTAGCAGATCTTTTTAGAGCTTGCTTAAACTCAGACACTCCCTTGGAAATTCAGTCAGGTGAGAAGACCACCAGCCCAAGAAAACAAGACGATGACACTCATTAAAATAGAAGGCCTGAGCCCAAATTCATGCCAATAGTGTCATTTTAGTCTGAGTAAAAAGAACATTATAAGCCTAGAGTCAGCCTATAATCTTAAGGAAGTGGCTCTAGGTTTGTACTATTGCAACGTATATATGCATATATGTGTGTATAAATATATATAGGAATCTAATTTATAATAAGCAGTTCCTTAGAGCGTGCTTAAAAATATACATTGGCTCAGGCTAAAAGCTTCTGTTTCCCCAGCTCCACTGTATCGCTCATGGTCAGCCATGCAATTGCATAGCCCATTTTCACATTTGTAGCCCTGTCTTTGATTTTCATAATTCTACCATGGAGTTAGATAACACCCAAGGAAGTCTATGTCTGTGTCCGAAGAGAGTCCTTATATACAAGACGCCCTGTCTGTATGCTAACCGCTCTGGGTTTTAACATTAAATACAAATCCACAATGTGCTGTCTGATTAATCGCCTGGAATCTGAGCAGATCATACAGGACCTGAACTAAGAAGCTGGCTCTTTGTGCTCAAAACCAGGCTTAGACTGTGCCTCCAGTGCATTGCAGTGACTGTAAAATAACAAATAGCATCTTCCCTCCCTTGAACATCCACGCAGGCTATCAAAAGCAGGATTTGAGATGTAGTAGTATGGTATTTTCAAAGTCTGTTAAGCTCTGTTGCACTTTTGCAGAGGAAATGGTGATGCAGAATGGGAATGCAAAAGGAAATGCAGAAGTTTTTGGAGCCCTAGTGCTAGGCACAGCCCCTGACCCCTCACACCCGGCCTCTCCAGCTGCGGCAGGGAGGTGAGAGGGCATTTCTGACTCCTGCCTTTGCATGCTTTTCAGCATGGAATTTTTGGGGGGAGGGAAAAACCCCTCATAAGTAGATACAGTCATACTAAACGTATGCTGCTGCTTTGCTGAGCTGTTCTTACTTTGCAGTGTTTCATAACCTGTAGCACGTTTGCATCGCAGGGATGAAAGTGCTGGAGCAGATGATGCGATGGCAGCTAACACAGTGTGGAATGTGTGCATGTGGCCAGATGGTGAAAAACATCAAAGGTAACTCATCTGATCCCTAAAATAACCCAAACCTCAACTGCTGACTATGCCAAGTAACACTGGCTCCCACAGGCCCCAGAGCAGAGCATCAGGGCTGTTTTGCCAGTGAGGCTCTCGGAAAGGCCCTCTCCTCCTCCCAGCATCAGGAGCAGAGTGTACAAGGCCTGTAAAAATCGCCTTTTTCTTACAATGAGTTGCCTTATGCACCATTAAAAGAGCAGAAATGCCACGGCACAAGGGCAGAAATAGCCCCACTTCTCCAGGTATTACCCTTGGGGGTTGAAACACAACCATTCCAGGGGCACTCAGAGCTCTCCATAGATTTTTGGAGATGCTGCTGTGCCTCCATGCACCCCTCACTGACAAAGCCAGATGTATATGAAGGCAGCGGAGACAGTCCTGAAAATACAGCCCTCCACGACCACGTAGCCGTGCCCTCAGCGCAGCGAGGCAGACTTCCCCTCGGTGCACTCCCTCACCCTTTTGGATCTGCAGACTAGAAACATGCACAGGTGCCTACAGCGAGACCTGAATAACCGCACACACCCCAACCAGTTTGCAGAATCTGAACTAATAGCAGCTAGATCACCTGAAAAAAATCCTTATGGTGTGCCAAGGGCTGAAAGTGATTCATGCTGAGGAACGGTTCTGAGGTGGGTTTTTTTGCAAGAAATCTGAGTAATTTCCCATTAGTGTAAGTTTTATGCCTTGTCCATGCGTGAATTCACAGGTCAGGGGCTGGGTTGCCACAAATGTTTTGGTGCAGTTCCCGCAATAACGCTTTCGGTTTAATAGTGCTTTTTTACGAAACCTGCTGGACCTTTTCAAACGAGTCTTTGTTTTAAATGCTCCCTCTGCTGGCTATACTGTGAATTGTTATATTTTAATTAAAAACCTCAGACTAAAATTCGATTGTAATGAAATTATTAGGTTAACAGTTGTGCTGATTTTGGCTGGGATAGAGTTAATTTTCTTCATAGTAACTAGGTATGGGGCTATGTTTTGGATTTCTGCTGAAAACAGTGTTGGTAATACAGAGATGTTTTCGTCACTGCTGAGCAGTGCTTACACACAGTCAAGGCCTTTTCTGCTTCTCACCCCACCCCACCAGCGAGTAGGCTGGGG